GCCCCTGGGGGCCCCTTCTGCTGACAACATGGAAGATCTGCTTGGAGGAGGGTCCCGAGGGAAGAAAGGCAACCAGACAAAGAGAGAGAATAACAAATCTAGAACTGCCTGTTCCTTAGCCTCCCTGAGGTGACCTAGCAGCTCTGGGGTCTCCCCTTTCCCATTCAAACATCCAGCCACACAGGGCAGGAGCCAGAGGCTTTCAAGGATGAGAACACGAGCAATGCTATGCGTTTCACTTGGTCCAAGGGAATCAATCTTTGCAAAGCCTGGGTAAGGATGGAGCAGGCAACAGCTGCCCTGCATGTGTTATACTGGCTCCTTTTCTGGCCCAAGCTGCCTTTAAAAACACACGAGTTCAATCATTGTAGCAAGCGCTATTTATCTAGCGTCCACTGTTTCAAGAATAACAACATATGGGGCTCCAGTGATGGCTCGGCAATTGAGAGCACTGGCTGCTCTTGCATCCACAAGGCAGCTGTCTGTTAACTCCAGTTCCAGGAGATGATACTCCCCTTCTGGCCTCTGCTGGTACTGCACCCACATGGTACATAGACATGCAGACAAGCACCCCACACATAAACAATACATCTTTTTACAACAAAATAATAATAGCATACATGACTGCATTTAATCCTCAAGCATCCTGTGAGTTGTATCACTGTCATTTGAAGTTGTGAGTAGAGGGCTCAGAAAAGTTCAGTACTTTCCCACTAGGTCTCACTGCAAACAAAACGATAAAAGCTCAAAATTCAAACCTAAGTCAATTTCTACCCAAGCTGGGCCTTTGTCATAACACACGGGTGCTCTGCTGATAGGCCTAGGGCAGGTGAAAGTAGACCTGGACTGTAACAAAGAAGTATCAGCAAGGCTCTCACAGAAAGGTAAAAATGTATCCACAGTCTGGGATGGGGGTGGGTCCGCATCTGCTCTTCCCAAGGTCTCTAGGCAGCCGATGCTCATCTCCAACTGGAGATCCTCTGCATGTATGTCTGCTTCACAAATACAGGGTTAATTATTTGTTCTTGGACCAGAGACTACAAGGGCAGTTGAGGCATATGTTCATATGTGTAAATGTGCTCATACATGTGTCTGTTTGCATAGGGAGCTAGGTGACTGATTATATGACAATGTGCACAAGTAAAGGGACTCGTGACCCCTGAGAATGCGTGAGTGTGCTGGGAGCCTGGGTGTGCAAATATAAGATACACAGATGCTGAGGCCACAGGACAGGCTGAAGGTGAGTATAGAGACTCCGATTAGCAGATTAGCATCCCCCCTTCTAGAGAGGTCTCGTATATTCTAGACTGGCTTCAGTCTTTCCTGATGCTCCTGCCTCTACTTCCCCAAGGTTTCATTCATGCTAAGCAGCTGCTCTACCAACCACACACCACATGCCCAGTATTGACCTCTCTGAACTCCAGGGACCTCAGTGCCTATCCCCAACCCTTATTTCTAAACTGTTAGTGCCATTCTCCCATTCCTATCTTCTCTACTCTGAATAAAGATGGGACATTCTGGAAGCTTCTACATGGTATGGCTCTGCTAGGATGGGCGAGATTTCCTCAGGATGCTTGGTAACCGAAGTTACCAGATCTTTTCATTGCCAGTCTTTTTACTGTCACAGAGCACCTATGCTCCCCAACTAAACAGATCCTCCCCCCCCCCCCCACACACAAGGCTAGCAGGGCACACCCAGATCACCCATCCATAGGGAGGAAATAGGGACCAGGGAAGGGAATGGAACCAGACACATTCACAGGGTAGGTAAGGGGTGGGGCTGTTGGGCTGTGTCATCCAGAGCAACTGCTTTCAAATCCAGCCTAGGGCTGGGAAACTGAGGGGACAGACTACTACTTGGGGACAGTAGTAGGAGTCAAAGAAGCTGGTTTTGTAGCAGGGTATTCTAGACTAAGTTAAGATTGTCATTTCACTAATAAAAACAGTATGTCACAAAGGTAGAAGTTACTTTTTTGTTTTGTTTGTTTTTTTTTTCCTTGTAGAGTTTCTGGGAAAGACTTAATGTAGGGCTTGGGAGCCTTATACAGCCACTGAGAAGAGATTAACTCTTAATATGGAATCTGGGCCTCACTCTTCCAATTTGTAATGAAGTAGCATTAATGGCTTTGGCTAGCCTGAGTGGAACTCAGACAGGCAAAAATGTACCTATCCATAGGCGAGCCACCCCACTCCCCATCTCTCTCCAGAGTCTAGCTATATATTTTAGGCTTTGCTCCAAGTCAAGCTGTTCCTGAATGCTGGGGATACATGCTACTACACTGGCTTATTTTATTTTTATTTTGTGCAAGGCATTACTACTTTAAGCACTTTGTAAATGTTATTATTTGCAACTCCAACAGGCCACTGAGACACATAGACAGAAAATAACTTGGGGAAGTCACACAGCTAGTCTGATAGATCCACAGATGGCCCAGGGATTTCGCTGCTCCTGCAAATAGGGGAGGCCACTAGCAGGGCTCTGAGGCTGAGGGTTGTTAGCACCAGCTCTGGAATGCCACACCCTAGATCTATAGGCGTGCCTTTCTTCTTGCTTGCAGCTCCTGATCCTTGACTCAGGAGTTTGTGGGTTCAAGTTCTGAGGCAGGGGTAGAGGACAAGGGCTCTAGGATGGAATGCACTTGGCTTCTATTCTGGAAAAAGTGCTTAAACAGCTCAGGTCTCAGATCCTTCACCTATAAAATGGGGACAACAACTCAGCCCTGTGGTCGCTTGGAAGATGAAATAAGATTAAAAAAAACGAAAGAGTCCAAAGCTCTTTTAAAAACAAACAAACAAACAAAAATCACAAGACCAGCTGTTGAAGTCAAGCACATTGCTGTATACCTAGGAGGTGGAGGCAGGAAGATCAGGAGTTCAAGGCCAGCCTGGGCTAAATGCCATCACATCTCAAATAAAACAAAACACAAAACAGCTGCTATTAATAAGATATAGAGTCCAGAAGGTTGCTTTAATGGAGGAAGGCTGGTTAAGACCAAAATAAAACATGTAATTTCATGGTAGGAATAGACTAGAACTAGTTAGTGTGTGCGTGTGCTTCCTTTAGGTTAGGGACACTGTCAGTAAGTCCCAGAATGTACCCATCCACCTGCAGTAGGCAAGGTGGGGCACCAGAGGTGACTGGTAGGTCAGGAAGTTCAGAGACGTGAACCCATTACTATTGATCAACTCTCAGGCAGGGTGCCAGGCTCTTTAGCTGAATTACACTATTGGATCTCGAAGATACACCTTGGAAGGAGGCGGCAGTAACTAATAACACTTTTAAATAGGTTCAGATGGTTAAGTAATTTGTCAAGGTCACGAGGCTCAAGAACAGCAGAGCTAGGATTTGAACCCAGGTTTCTGTTACTGTTGTACTTGAAAGGAACTTGTATGATGTCCCCAAAAGGGGTTCTTAGCTACTTATCACCCATCTTCTGCCTCGAAACATCCCCACCCACCTACTCACTCACTCATTGGCCAAGACTGCACTAATGAACCGACAGCAGGTCCCAGCATGTGCTACCCGGGGCATGCCAGGACACAGACCCTCTGATACCCCACCTCGGGGGACAAAGGTGCTGCCAGCATACCCCCCACCTGAGCCTGGCAGCCACTCTCCTCCTTTCCCTCCTCTCTCGAATCTGGAAGGCAGAGGACTTCTGGAGATGTTGGGCAGTGTCATTCACCCGGCTCTACCACAGACCCGAGAGGAGGCTACAGGGTCAGGGAGTGGTACTCCGAAGGAAGCAGAGACCCAAGCCCCCCTGGGCAATGGGCCGCCAAACCTCTGTCAGACCAGGGGACCAAGGATGGTGTGGCAGCACAAAGCCCCAAGGGCGGGCAGCCAGCCCCTCTGACCTCTCCTCCCCACTTCCCAAGCGTCCTTATTTTTTCTGGGTAACACAACGACAAGCTTTGGGACAGTCCGCACCAGGCGGTCAAGGCAGCAGGCAGGGACAAAGCGCGCCCCCTCCCCCTCACCAGGGCCTTTGCCTACTCCGGATTCGCGTCTGACTCTTCTCCCCACCGCACCCTCCGACGCAGGCCCGGGCGCCTCATGAATGAACCGCTCTGTGTGGGGCGCAGGAGAGGACATGCTCCCGGGGCCAGCCGCCCTCTTCCAGCCGGCAGATCAGTCCCCACCAGGTCCGGGCACAGCCACCCGTCTGGTGCCAGCACCCTCGAGCCCTGCCCTTTGCCCAAGCCTGGACCCCTTGTTCGCGGCCAGCTTCATTCCCGGCAACAAGAGACCGAGGGCAGTGGACTTGGCGACCCCAGAATGCAAAACTCGGGGGCGGAGGCGGGTGGTTCCCTTCAGCGCCAGCGGCTGGGGAACAGCTGGGACCCGACGAGGGCCGCGCCGGGGCCGCGCACCTGGACGGGGCAGGTGGAAATAAGAGTAGCACTCAAGGGTCGGGACAGAGGGGGTCCCACCCCTTGGGATAGCCCAGCGGGGCGGGGGCAGAAGACGGCGCACATCTGGAGCCCCGGCAGGGGTGGAAGGACTCACATCTGGCCAGGGACGATGCGGGTTTGGGGACAAAGCGTGCCTCCGTTGGGTCCCGCGGGGCCCGGGCACCTCTGGGTCCCGCAGGAGGTGGAAGGGAGGAGGCGCGCAGCTGAGTCCGGGTGTTTTTTTTTTTTTTTTTTTGGTTTTGTTTTTTTTTTTTCCTTCCTTGGGGTGGCAGTGGGATCCTGTGATCCAAGTAAGGGGTGCTGGGGAGGGGTCCGCGTACTCACCCCCTGGCGCAGACTCGGCTCCGGCTCGGGAGCCCCGGCTCCGGGCGGGGCGGGGCTGGGGAGGGGGAGGGGGAGGCGCGGGGCGGCTTGAGCTCAGGGCTCCTGCGGCGGCCGCGGCAGCGCGTGGGGGAGGGGGAGCGGAGGGAGGGAGGGAGGGAGGGGAGCCGGGGGCGGGGCTCCAGCGGGAGCCCGCCCCCCACGCCGCACACGTAGAAAGGGCGCGCGCGCACTCACGGAGCACGGCCGGCGCGCAGGCGCAGGGGGCGGGGCGGGGCCTGGCCAGCGGGGTTCGTGGCGGGAGATTGCCTGGGAGCCAACTCGGTATGATGGGGGCTTAAGGAGCTACCTTGGTCTCCTCGCCATGCTTCTCCTCTCCCTCTCTTCTCTACAGCAGGGGAGGCGCTGTCGGGGAGGGGGGGGACAGGTCACACTGGGTCAATGAGAGGGGACCCCACCCTTCGCCAGGCCTCAGATCTGGACCCACTTTTTGCCCACGGCTGCATGGTCACGCCGCTTCCGCGCCTCCCTCGCCCCCTCGGTGCGCTCGTTTGCTTACCCCGGTCTGGGAAGTGGAGCCTCGGGGAATCGGGGCTGCGGTCTAAGCCTGGGCCAAGTAACTTAGGCAGGTTGCTCCGGCCTGTCTCCTGTAGTTTATCTGCTTCTCCTCCTCCCACTGGGTCTGGAGATAAATTTGCTAGAACCTCCTTCGATGTAAAGAGGGAGGAGTCCTTGCTTTCTCTTCTGTCAGGTCCAGGGGATTCCCTGCTTTCTCAGTTCACCTCACCTAGTGGGGGTGAAGACTGGGACTATGGAGAGGCGGACCGCCCCTTTTCTGTATGTCACCACACAGATCACGATTGCAAAGACAGGGCAAACACCACCTGTTTAATTTCGGGTTTTTAAAGGGGACAGAAGGAAATACCGCTTTCCACTGTGCGCATTAAATGAGCTTTGCCACGCTGAGACGTTAAGGGACTGATTGGGTAGCGGTCACAAGAGCTGAGACTGAGTCACCTTGGGCTGCTTGGAGTCACAGCTGGACTCTGCCAATCCTGCTCAGTGTGTGTGCCGTATTTGGATATTCAGCTGCCCGTTATAGCTGGAAGGTTTGGTCTGTTGAAGTGTCAAACACTCCCATGAGTGACTTGGAAACCAGTTTAGTAGACCATGGCCATAATATATATTTATGTGTGTATGTATAATATATATATGTATGTAATATATATTCCCTGCAGCAATGGACTTTATGCATGTGCTCCCTATCACTTGAGGTCCAGCTAATTAATATATACGTTTATACATACACACAAACACACATATTTTTGCACCTATATATACAGGCATTGCACTTACAGTAGGTATTGTGTCTTGGGACACAAGGGCATGGAAGTGCATTAGGTGTCTGTGTGTCATAGAAAAGTGTAGAAAGGTGTTGCTCTCCTGTATTCCTCTCGATTTCCTTGGCTTGAGCTTTCTGAAGTTGCAGTTGGTGAGTGAACTAGCAGTGGGCTTGCCTGTAACCCTAGACATAGGCACATGTTCAAGGCCATCCTCTACTGGAGTTTAAGGCCAGTTTGAGATCGCCTGAGACCCTGTCTCGACAAAACCAAACCAACATACAAAAACCCAAACCCTCCCAAACTGGGGATTTTGTTGGAGCTAGGGGAAAGAAGATGGAGGTGACCGTAGACAGCGTAGGTCTGGGTTCTGAAGAAGGATCTGTTCTGATGTTTTTGGGTTATCCATTTTACCCACAGGGGTTCTCAGATGTGTATTTCCTGTGGGACTTTTTAATATGATATTGGCGTGTGAGTGTGTGTGTGTGTGAAACTAGCCTGACCCACCCCCTGGAACAATAAAACTCACTTTGAGGCCAGACATCACTGATAGTGGGTATTAGAAGATGGAAATGGAAGTCATGGTAACCTGGTGTGGGGACTTCTGGAGATCACTGGAAGATGTTTCTGGAATTCTACTATGTTTTAATATAAAACATATTGCAAGTGTGAATCTGAACCTCTGGTTTCCTGATTCCATTTCTCAAGTGGTTGTTACCTGAACACAGTGCCTAGAATCTTAGATTATGTAAAAACCCACTGCCCCCCCTTCTCTGTAGCCCTGGCTGTGCTGAAACTTGCTCTGTAGACCAGGCTGGCCCAGAACTCAGAGATCCACCTGCCTCTGCCTCCTGAGTGCAGGGATTAAAGCAAAAATCCTTTAAATATTACCTTTATCTGCTGGGCAGTGGTGGCTCATGCCTTTAGTCTCAACACTCAAGAGGTAGAGGCAGGCAGATCTCTGAGTTCAAGGCCAGCCTGGTCTACCAAAAAAAAAAAAAAAAAAAAAAAAAAAAAGATTATCTTGACCTCTTTTGTCCTGGTGTTGTCTGCTGCCTTGTGTGGATTTGCCCAAATGTGTTTTCACATTGTTCATGTTACTTGGTTCTGTGGGAGTTTGGGGAGGCCTCAAGATGTCAGGTTATAGTTTAACTGTTTTTATTTGTGTTTGTCTGTTTATGTGAGACCTTGGCTCACGTAGCCCCGACTGGTCTCAGACTCGTGGTCCTTCAGCCTCTGCCTCCCAAGTACTAGGATTGAATGGATGCACTACCACACCCCACGTTCAGTCTTCCATTTTAGAGGTTGATATAATTTTACAGGTATGTTAACAATGATAGTCAGTGTTTAAGAGAGGGCTGTGATTCAGGGCTCATGGTGGTGTTCTGAGTCACGAAATGTGTTGACCCAGAAAGAGAGGTCAGTAGCTTATTAGGGAGTCAGGGTGGGAGGTCCCCAATCAGAAAACTCTTAAAAATCATGTCTGTCCTTGGAAAGTCAGAAAGAACTTTCTGTGTCTCCTCTAAGCCGAGAAGCACTTTGAGGGCTGTGATTTAAGATGGAGGAATGGATGCTGCCTTGTGATGGAGGAGTGAGACCAGGAAACAAGTTGCCTTCTGTGTGGACCAGAAGGGTTCCCCAGTCAAAGTGGTCCCTCGCCTAAATGAAGCTAAAGCACTTTCAGATCCGTGTGGCTCTTCTCTACCCTATGGCCCCCGCTTGTCCAAAATTCGCTGAGACCTGGAGACGTGATTTAAAGGTCACGGACATCTCAGGGATGAGTCCCGCCAGGAGCATTTCCTCTTTGGTTCCAACCTTGCTGCCCCACATTCCTCTGGCCACCTGACTTCTTAACCCTCCCTGGCTCCTTGCCACTGGCTCAGTGGAGTCCTCATAGAAAGTTAAGCATAAAATAAAAACTGTGGACCAAGTTGAGGGGTGGGTTGCTCAGTGGCCACTGTAGTTGAAATCGACCTGGGCAGCTGTGCTGGGTGTGGTGTATTACTACTAGTATTGCTGTTGTTGTTATTATTGACAGGATCTTACTGTGTAGCCCTGGCTAGCTTGGACTTCAGTATGTAGACCAGGCTGGTCTTGAATTTACAGAGATCTACTTGTCTCTGCCTTCTAAGTGCTGGGATTACAGGCATGTACCACCACCCTGCCTGGTCTTGGTTGTTTTGTTTTGTTTTTGAGACAGTCTAATTTAAGTCAGGCTGGCCTTGAACTTCTATGTAGCTGATGTTGGCCTTGAACTCTTGATCTACCTACCCTACCTCCCCAGTATTGTATACGCCACAACAAAGGTAGTTTTTTATTTTTTGAGTTTTTAAAAAACGTGTGCTAGCCTTCACAGTCACACACACACGATGTGTTGTATTTGTTTTTGGTGAAGTATTTTAGTGGGTAGGGCTGCATCTGAGCCATGCCCCTGTCCTGTGGGGTGTACTGGGTAGGAACAAGTTTGAGCTCTGGTCTGGACTTGGTTGCCTTATAACCTGGGAGGAGTGGCAAGCAGTAGTACCATTTCTGACTTCATTCCTCCACCTGCAAAATGATGCAAGTCCTCAACTGGTCCAGCCTCTCACAGTTGCCTGTTCTTATTTGTTTTTCTGTTTCCATTGGGTGCCTAGGAATGAAATCATCAAAGAAAGTGCTCTGGTGTGGATACTTGAGAATTGCAACATATTAGACTTGTGTGAGGTTAAACTGTATACACAAAATAAACTTCCTGAAAGAGAATGGGTGATAGAGAAACAGTAACAAGTGTCAAGCAATAAATGCAAGTATTTGTTGGTCCAGAATGATGGGAAGCGTCTTTTTTCCATTCCCATAGTGCCAGGCCTTTGCTCTTTCCTGCTTAACATTTGCTTTGTTTTACTTTTGGAGACAGGGTCTCTCTAGGTGAAGCTGCCCTGGAATTCTCAGGCTGGCCTTGAACACAGGTGACCCCTGTGTCTGGGTCCTCCTGCCTCTGGTACTAGAGATTGAACCCAGAACATCATATGTGCCAGACAAGTGCCTCTCGCTTCAGAGTGCTGGGGTTAAAGGTGTATGCCACCAGACCTGGTTGGGAAACAATGTATAGGTCTGTGGTATTCAGTGTACTGGCAATGTGTAGACAGCGGCTCTGCTGGTTACATTGTATTGAAATTCAACACCTAAGTGATACCTGGGAAAAGATGGCTTGGCAAGGCAGCAACAGGCTTGTGCACAGTCTGAGATGCTAATTCTGCTACCCAGAACCCATTTTAAAGGTGGAAGGAGAGACCTGACCCCATAATTTCCCTCTGACCTCTGCATGTGCACTGTGACACACAGTAATAATAATGATTTTTCTCACAAAGCATACCAAGCGTAGATTGCTCTTCTAGTCCTTAGTATGAAAATTAGCTAACCAACCCCTAAAAGAAAAGAAAGCTAGCTAAAAATGAATCCTCTAAATCAGTGTTTTCAACATTTCTAGTTCTGTGACCCCCTTAACCTTAAAATTATTTTTGTTGCTACTTCATAACTGTAATTCTGCTACTGTTATAAATATCTGTTTTTCCAATGGTCTTAGGTAACCCCTGTGAGGTCATCCCACACCCCCACCAGGGGTTGAGACCCTTAGGTTGGGAAACATTGCTCTTAAACATCAGAAGTCTGGGTGGGCGCACAAAAAAGTCAAAACACACAGGCACACAGAATATGGCAACTCTGGGATCCACATTGAACTGCAAATCAGTTCTGTCCGCTTGACAGTTCCTGAGCTGTAGCCTGGTGTCAATAGCTGCTCTCTACCCTAGAATACTAAGCAGAGCAGGTCCTGGGCCCTGTCTCCATGCATGTATTCCAGTGGGACTGCATGTGAAAAGCTAGTGAACACCACCGATGTGTCTCTGAAGTCTCCCCTCTACCCTTCTGCAGCGCAGTGGAGAGTTTAACAGAGCTGGGAAAGGGGCGTGCCTCTCAGACACGTGAAATCATCTCCACCCTGCCCCATGAAGGAGAGAGAGGTTGCGATTCACATTCTGAAATGGGAGGATAGTGCTCTGAGCTGACCAGAAAATCACATGAAAGGCCGTTTCTGGCACTGGAATCTTCCAAATAACCCAGCTCCATCTACATGAGAGTGTTGTGAAGGAAGAAATATTGAGGGCTGTCTGGGCAAACGCAAGGCTTCAGAAGAGACACAGCATTCTGTGTGCCCAGGTCTGCCAAGCCTCAGGTCCTGTGTCTGCAGGATGGACTCAAGCTAGGGGAGAATGTAAAGGCCTATCAAGAGTTTCTTTGACATCCATTGCTGTCCTGTAGCTCTGGAGCGGTTATTTACTGATGTGGGCATTGCCCATACTAGACTGGGAGATGCTTCCAGGGGTCTGCAGGCAAAGCATGGACTTCCCCCACTGCTAGCACCGTCTTGGCGCAGGAAACTCCTAGAGGGGTTGCCTGTGAAGTTCCGGGGTCACATGGGGGAGGGAGGGATGGCACCTAATTTATTTATTGCACTCCTGCTGTTTTTTGGGACCTGAGATCTTTTGCCAGTATGGGAGAATCAGTTGTCTTTTGAGGAATAAGGTACAAAGTGAGGTCTGTAACTGTGCCTTCGGGCCTTAGGAAACTGCTAAGTCAACTGAGGTCGAGGTCAGAGGTTACAGTCACTGTCAGATGCTTTAGAAACAGTGAGAGTAACTTGAGCCTTTTAGGAAAGTCTGTCTTCCCTGGAGGCATGACCCTTGTGCTTGAGGGTAGGGTGCAGAGTCCCTGACCTACCAGTTCCTGTGGCCTTGAGATGTCCTTGTAAGTTTCTGAATGGGGGGAGTAAGTAGCAAGGAGAATGTGAAGAGGCATCCAGAACTACCAGAAACTGGACTTAGTGGCCTGGTGTCACAGGCCTGCTGTGATCCCAGGGACCTGGGAGGCTGAGGTTGAAGGATGCCAAGTTCAAGGCATGTCTAGGCAATTGGGTGAGGCTATATCTCATCTCTGTGGTACAGGGCTTGTCTAGCATTTTTGAGGCCCTAGGTTCAATTTCTAGCTTGGTAAAATCAAACTAGAGTCGAGATGTAGCTCAGTGGTACATTACTGTCCTAGCATAGGCAGGGTTCAATCCCTCAGCATACTGAACATTGCCTCAGTGTCATTTCCATCAGAACAGAGTGCAGGGCTGTCCCTGTGTAGATGGGGCTGCAGCTCACTTGAAGAAATAGTTCAGACTCAGGAAGCAGAGGGGGCATGGGCCACGGAGCCAGCTGAAAGGCACCAAGTGGGGGTCTGGGCCTGTTCTTTAGTAGTTAGAAGGTTCCTTGAGTACTGGGATTTATGGTGGTACCCCACCAGGAGCTTCTAGGAACCCCTCAGCACTTCTACAGTCCTTGGTCTAGCATTCTAAGAGCCCAGTGCCGAGATGAGGTCTCTGTGATCTCAGGATCCACCAAGTCAGCTGCATTCGATTAATTTTGAATCCCCAAGGAGTTCCTTTCCTCTGGGAGCGATCCTGCAGGCCGGCTGGCTTCAGATGGCACGGCTTGGCTGGGGTTGGGGGTGCAGGTGCCCTTCAGAGCTGTAGTGGTTGTGTACCCATTTTTAGTTATGTGTACAGCATGCATGAGCCCTTGCCACCTGCCCTCCGCACTGTCTTCAGGGCTTAGATGGGGGCGGAAGACACTCAGCTTGTGGAGTACTCGACAGACAGGCTCAAGGTGCTGTGTGCAACCCCAGCATCGCAGGACACAGCCGAAGCCTTGGGTTGGATGGAAGAGAATCCTCTCCTGGTACGTCTGGTCATTCAGCAGGCAGTGAAGCGCCTTCCAAGAAAGTGGACACGAAATGTTTTGTTTTGTTTAGATGGAGGCCTATCTGTAGTGCCCTGACTGACCTGTTGCTATGTAGACAGGTCTCGAGCCCCTGCCTCGGCCTCCTGGGTGCTGGGATTAAGGCACACACCACCACACCTGGAAAATGTCAGCATTCCTGATGGAACTAGAGTGTCAGCAGTTGGAGAAATACTTAAGATTTCATAAGCAGGCTTGTTACTCCTCACTGCCTCTCCTTGGTCAGGTTACTTTTCTAGCCTCGTGTGTGTGTGTGTGTGTGTGTGTGCGCGCGCGCGAGCTCGTGTAACAGGGAGGTCAGTAAAGTATACACTGCACAGTGGTGTCTGTGTTAAGAGAGATGGCAGTGCAAAGCGTTTAGCTTTAAGTGCCACAGCAAAGGTTCATCAGGAAACCTCACCCGACAACTCTGAGCTGGGATCCCGAGCCTGAGGCTTGGACTGTTCTGGTTCTGCCCTTGCCTGGTTGTGGGGCTCTGTAGAGGGCTCTGTCTCCTCATCTGGGAAGTGAGATGGGGAGAAGAGCGACAGGCATGGGACGCTCTGCACAGCTCACTCGCCCAGGGTCTTTGGTTAGTAAAGCTGGGCCCTTCTGTCGGCCTCTGTGTCCGGTGCTGAGAGTTGCCTGGTTAGCTGCCATCTGCTGCAAGTTTTCTGATTGTGGAGTGGGCCAGCACTTCACAGGGGCCCCAAGGAGAACCCTGGGTGAAGGGATTTGAGGCAAGGTGCTAAGTGACAGGCATCTGTGGAATGCCCAGGTATTTCTGTGGAAGTGACTGGCGAATACTCTCCCACCCTTATTAAATAGTATTATCGGAGGCAGGCGTGTTGAAGCCTCACTAGGCAAAGCTGTGTGTAAATACTCCAGTGCATGGGCACAGCTCTGGGGCTCTCCAGCAGTACTCTCTGCAGCTTGCTGTCTGGGTGAAAGAGCTGGCCTGCTTACAGCTGGGATCCCCGTCTGGTGGGTGGCAGGCTTTTCCTAGCCATGGCGCAGCAAGGCTCGTGCCCTGAAGGTCCTTTCCACTTGTGTGTTTGTGTGTCCACGTTCTGTGACCTAGGCGCTGTAGCTCTGTCTGCTCTCTGTGGGAGTTTTTCCATGCCACAGTGCTGTGGGGGAGACTCGCCCAAATATAGACTGTGGTCAGTGCCTTGGCAATGATGGCTTTGGCTCTACTTTGCTGACCTTGGGCTCTACAGGTGTCCTGACATGCACATTTGGGGAAAGGGTGCTATGTGACAGGTGACTTCAGAGTAGGGATTGGACCCATGATGTGTGCAAGCACACTACTATCACTGAGCTATATTCTCAACCCTTTAAATATTATTTTTGTTTCATATACAACATGTGTGCCTGGTACACAAGAAAGCCAGAAGGGATGCCTGACCCCTGGAACTGGAGTTACAGTTGTGAGCCACCATGTGGGTGGTCCTCTGCAAGAGCATCAAGTGCTCTTACTCACTGAGCCATCTCTCCAGCTCCGTATTTTGTTTTGTCTTTTGTTTGTTTTTGTTTTTGTCTTTACAGAGTCTCACTACATAGCTGGCTGTCTTGGAACTCACTCTGTGGATCAGGCTGGCCTTGAACTCATGGAGAGCCATCTGTCTCTGCATCTGTCTCTGCCTCTTGAGTGCTGGGGCTAACGGTGTGTGCCACCACCACCTGGCTTGTTTTATCTTTTAATAGTTTCTTTCAGGCAGGGTCTCGTGTAGCCCAGGCTGACCTAGAGCTCACTACGTAACACAGGTCTTGAACTTTTCATCTTCCAGCCTAACTTCAGCCTTCAGTATGCTGGGATTACCAGTGTGAGCCACCATACCTGCCTTAATCGGTTTTAATACAGGATCTGGATGAGTTGCCCAGCCAACCTAGAACTCAGTCTGTAGTGCGGCCAGGTGTGGAATGTGGATCCTCTTACTCACAACACCTGGGAATGCAGGCCTGGGCTACCAGGCCTGGCTAATCTACTTTTTCCCAGGGTGCTGATGTGGGTTTCAGAAGGCACACGGGTGTCAAAAAGGTGTTCAGGGGAGCTGGGTGGTGATGTCACACGCCTGTCATCCCAGCACTCAGGAGGCAGAGGCAATTGAATCTCTGTGAGTTCAAGGCCAGCCTGGTCTACGGGGTGAGTTCCAGGACAGGCTCTAAAGCTACAGAGAAACCCTGTCTTGAAAAACCAAAAAAAAAAAAAAAAAAAAAAAAAAAAAAAAAAAAATAGTATTGGGGGGTGCTGGAGAGATGGCTCAGTGGTTCAGAGTGTTGGCTGCTCTTTCCTTCCCAAGAGCCAAGGTTCAGTTCCCAGCACCCTCATGGCAGCTCACAACTGCCTGTCGCTCCTGCTCCAGGTGCTAAAGGGCTCCTGTTTTCTGTTGCCTGGGGAAGCTGTAGGGCTGTCAGCTTTGACTCAGCAGAAATGGGAGCTGGAGCTCTGTCTAATCATCATGTATCGTTCAAGCACTAAGATTCTTAGTGACTAATGAAGGTGTGCTTCAGTGTCCTTTCCCACACAAGTCCCCATATAAAGCAGGCTGTCTTCTTTCCTGCAGGTTTGCCATCTTGGGATCCCATGGCTGTCCTTACTGGGCTCTGGGGCCCCTTTGCCAGTGTCAGCAGAGCCTTCGGCCCTCGCTGCTTCAGGTAATGCTGGACATCTTGTCCTTAAGAAGTGTCCTTGGGCAAGCCTGTCACCCTGCTGGATCCTGTGGTGACTAGAATAGCAGAGGAAACTCGGAGGTGTCATGGGCCAGTGGGATCTGGATTTAGTCAGCATGGGGGAGGAATAGGACAGACATGCAGCAAAGGGTGGCCTTTGATGGACGCTGCCTGCCCAACAGTCCCTGCCAGTTACTTATGTCACAGCTCTGACCCTATCTGGCTTTAAAACCCCTTACTCTGTGTGTGTGTGTGTGTGTGTGTGTGTGTGTGTGTGTGAGAGAGAGAGAGAGAGAGGGGGGGGGCATGCGGGTGTGTCATGGTACACATTTGGAAGTCAGAGGACAGCTTGCATAGGTTGTTTCTCTCCAGTGTGGGTCTCAGGGATCAAACTCAGGTTGTTGGGCTTGGTGGCAAGCAATTTTATCTGCTGAGCCAACTTGCTGATTCCAAAGTTTTGTTTTTTGTTTTTTGCTTTTTGAATGAGTTTCTCTGTGTAGGTCTGGCTGTCCCAGAACTAGCTCTGTTAGACCAGGCTGGCCTTGAACTCACAGAGATCCACCTGTGTCTGCCTCCTGAGTGCTGGGATTGCATCACCCCAAACTTTTTTAAGAATGATTTTTTTCAAGACCAGATTGAATCCAGGGTTTCCAGCCAATCCTCTTTTTACATTTAGTTTGACTTTTGCTGTTTTCGTTTGCTTTATATAATAGAATTTCACCAGACCTATAGCAGGGCTTGATATTTCCATGTAGACGAGGCTGGCCATCTTCCCTCTTCTGCCTCCTGGGTTGCAAGTGTATGTTTCTAGCCATCTGCTTTACCTTTTGAGACAAGCTGACCTTGAGCTCACTCTGTAGCTCACACTGACTTTGAACTTGCCATCGTCCTGCCTAATCTCCTATGTAGCCAGGATTGTTTTCTTGCACCAGGAAGCCCAGCAAAATTGTCCTTTAATTACAAAATTGTGCAGTTCTTGTCAGCACATGCTTCTTACCAAGCCAGGATGGCCTGCCCCAGCCACAGTGCCTTCCCCTTTGAGATCCCATGCTGCTGCCTGTCTTTACTGCGTCCTGCAGGCGTGAGTGAGGATTGCTTCTTGTGCAGAACAGTCCTCAAGGCAGGGCCTCAGAAATGAACTATGAAGCAACTAACTGAGAAGACTTGGTGAGAGCTGGGAAAGTGGCTTCAGCAGTGATGGTGGCGGCCACCAAGCCTGGTGACCTCACTGAGTTCCATCCTTAGGACCCATATAATGGAAGGAGAGTACCAACTCCTCTGAGTTGTCCTCTCACCTCTACTCGTGTGCGGGCTTGGTGAGTGCTTGTCAGATCTGAGTAGAGCTGTCCAAGGAAGGAGATGCGGGCCCCTAGAAAGGAGTTTGGTGGAAGCTCTTCCCAGCAGCAGTGGATTGCAAACTTGGGACCTCGTGACTTTGAGGTGCGTGTGTGTGTGCGCGCGCACGTGCGTGCATGTGTGTGTGTGTGTGTGTGTGTGTGTGTGCGCGCGCGCGCGCGTGAGTGCGTGTAGAGGGAATCAATAGCTGTAGCCATGGGGATAGGCCAGTAGAGGAATGGTCTGGGAGACCCTGGGATGGTGCTAGGGAAAACCCACACTTAGGGTGAAGGTCAGGACACAGGTCTGCTAGTTTCTGAAAAGGAACGGATCCGGGGGTTAGTGTGCTTCAAGCTGTAGTTCCGTCTTCCCGCCTGTGGAGGCTAAAGCAGGAGGACCACTAATCTCAGGACTTTGGGCAATCTGGAAAGACCCACCTCCAAAAGCCAAGCCCCTTTGGTAGCAATAAGAAGTTGTTGCCCGGATGGTGTCGAGTTTCTGTCCCAGACTCCATTAGAGCAGGGAAGGGCTGCACCCGGGGAAGCAGGTTCTGCAGGGTTGGCTGGGGTGAGGCTGCCTGTGGAGATTCCTTTAGCCCTCCTCGACTTTCAGAAAGCAAAAGCTGTGTATGACGTATGCCATGAAGTTTGTTGTCCCAGAAAAACTGGAATCTTGATACCAGTTGAAGCTCTTGGTTTTATGAGAGGCTCTTACTGAGGTACACAGGCTGGCCAAGCCTGTGATCCTCCTGCCTCAGCTTCCCAAGTGTTGGGATTAAAGCCAACACACCGGTGGTCTCAGAAGCTCTCAAATGTAAGGAAATAGATGGTTAAGGCTTCACAAACTCCTGATGACTCTTTGTTGGTTTCTGGGTCATACTCTGCTCAGCATGTACATATATGTATATGCGTGTGACTGACATTCACCTTCTGACTTTCTGAGACCTGTGTCTTATGGTCTAGAGAGGTCTGTGTCACAGACTCTTTTCCCTTCCACCAGCACCTCTGGGAGCCTCGATGCAATCCAGAAGATGACTCGGGTGCGTGTAGTGGATAATAGTGCCCTGGGGAACACCCCATACCATCGGCCTCCTCGATGCATCCATGTCTATAACAAGAGTGGAGTGGGCAAGGTAGGCGACCAGATTCTGCTGGCCATCAGAGGACAGAAGAAGAAAGCTCTCATTGTGGGACATCGCATGCCTGGCTCCCGAATGACCCCAAAGTTTGACTCCAACAACGTGGTCCTCATTGAGGACAATGGGAACCCGGTGGGGACTCGAATTAAAACACCTATCCCAACCAGCCTTCGTAGGAAGGAAGGCGAGTATTCCAAGGTGTTGGCCATAGCGCAGAACTTCGTGTGAGCAGAGCAGCTCAGAGCTGTGCCGCCATTTCCTTCACACTGGTGACAGTGTCCTGGAGCAGAATAAATGTTTTAATGTGTGTTTCCTTCTGTGCTGTCTGAGCTGTAGTTGTGAGGTGGGTAACAACAGTTGAACTCTAGCTTCCTCCCTAGACCCTAGGAGAGGCCTGGGCTCTTACAGCGCCCAGCTATGGGTCCATGCAGTGATTGAACGACTGTTCCTTCACTTGTTGGTCCCCTTGTGGGGAGCAAGGGCCCCCTTAGTTTCTCTAATAGAATTTTACCAGCTCACAAAGTGTTTTGGTAAAGATACTGTGGGGTTGAAGAGATGGCTGCTCTTCTAGAGGGCCAGGTTCTATTCCCGGCATCCCTGTGAAGGGTTACACCTTCTGTCACTCCAGTTCCGATGGATGTGATGCCCTCTTCTGGCCTCAGTGGGGACTGCATCCATGTGCACAGACATGCATGCTGGTAGGACACTCCTACACGTAAAATTAAAAGCAGTGAACAGGTATGATAGCCACTTATTAAAGTGTCTCCTTGGCCTCTGAGAGGCCAGGGGTGGGGTTCTTAGGCTGCCTGGATTTGAGTCACAACTCCACCCCTTCACCATCTCGTGATGTTGGGCAAGCTGGTTTATTTTTCTGAGCCTCTGTCCCCACATGGTGCTTGATAATGGTGCACACTCGATGCCATTGATACGAAGATTAGAAGAGCCAGTGTCTGAATGCCCAGGGCAGTCCCTGGCAGCAGGAAGCACTTGGTATTGACTGTTGTTTCCTGTATTGTGACTGCATGTGCCAATCCTGCGGCACAAAGGTGAGTGAGAGTAGGTGTGGCTCTCGCCCTCCTGGCAGTCAGTATTCCAGAGGGAGTCCATGGGGACCCAGGAATTCCTCTAACAAATGCATGCCCAGGTGTAACAGGGCTTATCACGAAGGGTTGGGCCTTCAGTAGCGTGGGTGTTGTCCCGGAGAAGGGGTTGCCTCAGCTGCATCTAAACCCGCATTGTGGCAGAAGCCCAAAGAAGGGTTACTTGAGGGGCTGACTATGGTGTGGACTAGGGAGGGGCAGGAGGGAGTCTCCGAGCATTGAGTTGGGTTAGACTCAGCAGCTGATGAGTGTTTATATCTGTGAATAATTAATGATACACTTATGTCCTTTTAAAGGAGTGGGGATTTGCTGGGGAGAAAGAAGCTTGTGCACAGGCCCTGGCTGGGTAAGTACCAGGGCCTTTAACTTGTGAGCCTTTGGAGCCCACGTCAGATCTGGCTACTGCAGGTCAGGAGAGGAGTGGACCTCCATTTACTCATCAGTCCATAGCCATGGGAAGGAGGCTTTCTTACCCAGATACATTGAGATGCATGTGATGGGTATTTAGGAAAGGAGTTGGCTTTTTCTTGGGGAAGAGAGTTTGAAGAGGACAGATGACAATAGTCCTGTAGGATGCTACCATGAACTGGGATGCAGTCAGGAGTAGATGCCTTGAATAGGTAAGTTTGGCAATGGACTGATAGGGTGCAGAAGGCTAAAGATCTGGGGTTTCTGGATTCTACTCATGAAGATCACTTAAGCTAGGGTGCTAGTGGAGAGGCCTGAGGGTCAAGAAGGAAGTGGTGGTAGGAGGGAGGGCGTGTGGCTGTGCCTCTGAGGTGCCAAGTATGTCAGTGGGCATCGTCCTACGTTATAGCAGTAGTGGGCTGTGGGGAGACATCCAGGCACGTGCATATTCCTGCTGCTTCTCAACGCCCTTGAGTTTGCAAGCATTGGTCCCATTGCAGGTAAGGACGGTTTGAAGGCCACATGGGTCTCAGGCAGATCTGTGACTTCCCATTCAGTCTTCCCCTAGCGTCTCCAGCTCTCATTTTTACTATTGCTGAGGATTCTATCTTGACTCCTACCAGCTGTGATCCTATAGGCTGCCATTCTGATTCTGCTGCAGGGCAGACCTTGGTGGTGGTGGAGGGTGGGGGGCCTGCCTGCCTGAATATCAGGAGGTAGGAACTCAGTTTGTGTCTTTCAGCCCAAGTGTGTCCTGCTCACAGAGCGCCTCTGGTTAAGTTTGCTGGAAGGGATTCTGGGTATTTGGGGAGAATACCCATCCCTCCTAATCTTTCCAGGAACCCGTGCAGTATGACCGCTGTGGTGAGCTGTAGGGGGTGGAGCAGCTGGGGTAGGGCACTCACCAACACCTTGCTGTTCTGCTGGTGTGTTTGCAGCCCGGCAGGGCAGCTGGGACTTAGTGGGCTCTTAATTCCCTGCTGTCTCTGCAGCTTGGAAGGTGGACTGGCGGGGTGGGGGTGGGGTGGATGAGGCCTCTGTCTTGGAGCAAAGGAAAGCAGTGATTGTCCTCAGCTTGACACAGCCAGCTTTCACCTGGACCTTTGCTCTTGATGGGCCAGCTCTGGCCATTTGCTGAGCTGCAGCTGCCCCCCCCCCCCGCTCTGTCATGTGTTTTCAGGGTTCTGGCTGCTCTGCTGCGCCCCCTCACCTGCATCCTGGCTGCTGAGGCTCACCGGTGTCCTCTGAGTGGCTCTATCCTTGCTGCCCCCTCTGGACTTAAGCACTCTCCCAAGGTGCTCTGTGCTGACCACTAGAAGCCTGTGGTTTCGGGACAGCCGAGTGGCCAGTGCCTGTGACGCAGGCCCTTGTAGCACACTGCCCAGAATAGCCCAGCCTTGTTGCCCTTCCAGCTTTGCAAAGGGAGATCTAAATTGTTGCCTCTCCCCCCCCTCAACCCCATGCCCACAGCCAGTACTTTCTTTGCCCATGAAATATTTATAATCACAGATTATGTTTCCTCGGGAGTATAAGCTTGCTCTTGTTTACTCCCCTTCTGTGCCCCTGAGAAGCCACCCGTTGGGTTGCAGCTTCACTCACCCTTCAGAGTCACTGTGGACTTCCCTGCAGTGTCCTTTGCTGGTGTCCTGCCCACCCACAGTGTGACCCTGCACCCTTGCTACAGGACCACTGTGGAGGGAAAGACTCCTAGATTGGCATCTGTGGTTGGAAACCTGTCACAAGCTAGCTGAGCGTCTCTGCGCAAGCCGCAGGCTCAGGCTGAAGGGGGCATGCAGCTTAGATGGTGGCTTGGTGCTCAGGAGGCCTGACACTATAAGCCCTTAACCCCAGCCACCTTGAAGGGTGTGCCCGTGGCCACAGACAGGAACCTGGCCCAAGCACTGCAGAGGCTGCCTAACCCTAATACTTAAGTTGTCTCTCTCTGGCAGGGTGTCAGGTGATTTTCCCGACACCCCTAGCGTCACCAACCCTGTCTTCTGCCCCTTAACCTCCCTTTTATGTTGCCTCATGGTCCTTGGTTAGAGACCTTTAGAGTGTCTCTTAGTACAAGCTGTCCTGGAGCTCCCTATGTGGACTAGGCTGTCCTTGATCTCGTGGTAGTCTCTGCCCCAGCACCCCAAATGCAAAGATTATAGATGTGTGGTCTCTGCCTGGCTCAGGCAGAGAACAGCTTTTAGTGGAGATTGTACTGTATTGGAGTCAAATGCATAGCTGAAATTATAGCTGAAGTTTGTGATTCAGTCTTCAAGAAGGAAACTGGCATTTTGTTTCTTTTTTACCTGTTCAGCTGTGTACCGCCACATTTTGCTGAACTGTTTTATCAACTAGGATTCATTTCCAGTGTATCTGGCTTTCCTGAGATGAAAGTGGTCATGGGTTTGCTTAGCACATTCAGGGCAGTGATGACCCCTTGCATTTGCTTGACAGTATGACAGGCCTCTGTCTCCTTTTGAAAAATGAAAAACTGATCTTGAGAATTTCACAAGCGCTATTGCGTTAGTGGGATGGATACCCTTGGGTATTATGAAACCTAGAGTGGGGAGTGATTGAGGCCCAATATTTACATGCCAAACAGAGGCAGCCCTTGCTCGCCCAGGCTGCAGGGTCCAGCTGGCCATTTATCATCATGTCCTGCCCACCGCTCCTGCAGACTTCCTGCTGCTTTCCCCTTGCCCCCTCCCCCCAGCTGCCTGGCACAGGAAAAGAAGGGGCTTCTCTCCCATGCTAGCTTTAGTGCTGGCTGCCACATCCGGCCTCCAGTGGGACTGCAGCCTGGGAGTGAACTGTACTGCCCTTTCTGAGTTAACCTAGTACGTTCTAGGCTAGCCACAGCTGATGTCCAGAAGGGGCGGGCACAACGGAGCCAGGGAGCTGAGCACTCATATGTCCATAAACATCACCAGTGTCATGCTTGTAACAAACAACAACTGGATTTGCTACTAGCTCTGGTCCAAGGGTGTGGGGAAAGAATGCTTAAAATAAGGTTTTCGGGTTCTTTGTAGAACTTTCTCCAGGACGGGTCCCTGTAATTATAGATAGTCTTGTGGTTCCTCAATTACCCCAAACAACCTTTGTTGCAGACCTCCCAGCCAATAGGCATTTTTTTTTTCTTTTTTGCAGAGTTTGTGTGTGCATATATTTATTTTGTTATGCATAAAAATTAGTTTTAGTCATATTCTCTTCATAGGGTTATATGCTTATTTTATTGGAGGCCAAAAGAGGTATCTGAGCCCTTGGAGCTGGAGATACAGGTGGTTATGAGCCATGGGTGTTGGGAACCGAACTCGGGTCCTTTGTGAGATCCCTTCAGGCCATGGTCAGATGCTCCACTGCTTTGAGGCCTATGCTGAGGCACAGCAGGGGTGTGTGGAGGAGGCTGCTCACTTCACAGTGGCCCAGAGCAGAGAGGACAGGGTTAGTTAGCTTCAAGTGCATGCCTCCCATGTGACTTGACTTCCTCACACTAGGCTCTCCCACACAGTGCCAACAGCTGGGAACCAAGCTTTTACAGGAGTCTGTTAGTCTATGAAGATTGGAGTTTTCTGTGCTTGGGGTCTGGGATGGGGCTCAGTTGACAGACTGCTCACCTAGCATGAAGTCCTGGGTTCGATCCCCAGCTGCTAGCCTATAACCCTGCCTCTCAGGAGGTGGAGGCAAGAGATCAGGAGTTTAAGGTCGTCCCTGGTCACGCGGTGAGTTTGGAGCCAGTTTGTGCTACATGAGACCCTGTCTTCGTGTTTGTTTGTTTGTTTGATTTTCCTTTTAAATCCAATGCTCATATGC